CAATTGTCACCAGGATCTCGGATAGTGGATCTAGTTTCCTTCCGATCAGCTTGCTGTACAGATCAGCGATGGCGTTGACCAAACGAGGATGACCCTGTAAAATGAGAATTAAATTGGTTCAAACTATAGAAATAATCAAGAAATATATTTCTAAGGTCCTCCTCCAAAATAATATAAAAATAAAAATAAAATGAGGGTTTTCGATTTGCTCTCCCTCCCAAAAAAATCTCGAACATTGAAAACAACCCAGTGATTGAAAAATCGTGGAATGTTTACTTCTTTGAAGTTTTTGCGCGCATCCAACTTCTAGCTTTCTTAAAGTCTGATTCGAGGGTGGTTATCTGATACTTTACTATTTCCTCTTATTCTATAATCAGGTTTCCAAAAAATGTTTTAAAATACGTACAAAGCCTCTTGTGTATTGATTCATGAGGTGGTTGGATTCAGTTACTTCGGCAATGTATTTCGGCAGGTACTCGGGAGGAGCTGGAAAATCAGGAAAACCTTGGCCTAGGTTACAATCAGGCTTATGCTCAATAGCCAGTTGAATATACTCCACCCTTGAAAAAATAAGCACATAAGTACATCTCATTACATATCAAAATGTATTTTGGGTTAAAATTAAAAAAAAGGAAATCCATAAATATCATTCACTTTATGTTCTCCTTCCACTTTAATTCAAATGCGCCAGTAATTTGGAACATGCGCAAAACTAAGATTCTCCTTCAATTTCGCAAGATACCACATACCTACTCCGGAGTTCAAATAGTTGCTCGCTTTTTATCTGCAACTTAAAAAGGTAAAAAGCACTCGAATTTCATCTCAATATTACGAAAGGACGCGATATTTCTAGCGGATTCGTAAAATACTAAACATGTTGTGTGGGTGGTCTGCACGAGATCTCTCTCCATAGAGAGACCACGGGCGACCACTGTCCGACGCGACAGTCCCTCTGGAGCCTTGTGACGTCAGCTCGAGATATCTCTAATTAGAGACGTCCCGTCGGCTGATATCACGACGCTCCAGCTACGTCCCCTTATTGACCTGATTTCAGGGTCACCACAATTTACGCGCTTTCTCTCTCAGTATCGCGGAAACTGCGCGATTTTTCAAGACATTTTCAAAGGAAAATGAGGTAATACACGGTAATATCACAATCATTGCGGCACAGGCGCGATTTTGCGAGCGGTTTGATAAATTCGATATAAAATTACGCGTAATTCAAAGAAGCTTTCCAGCGGTTGGTTGTGAACATAAATGATCACACAATTCTCACCGCAACATTGCAAAAATCACGCGATTTTTACATCGATGCGAACATACGATACATTAAAGTCAGTAATTTGGAGCAAGCGAAAAACCAAGATTCTCCTTCAATTTCGCGTGATAACACATACCTACTCTGGATGCATGCATACATGCATGTCTCAAACACAAGCAGTTGATTCGGAACGTAAATTATACCCCAATTTTCACCAGAATATCGTGAAAAACACGCGATTCTTATATCAATTAGAGCATACTATGCAAATAAGTAGTAATTTGGGACGGACGAAACACCAAGATTCTCCTTCAATTACGTGTGATGCAACATACCTACTTCGGAGTTCGATTAGTTGCTCACTTCATTTCTGCAACTTTAAAGGTGAAAAAGCACTCGAATTTCAACTCAAAATCGCGAAAGGACGCGATATTTCCGGTGAATTCGTAAAATATTAAACGTTTACGCGCTTTTCATGTCGGTATCGCGAAAAATGCGCGATTTATCTGGCGATTATCAAAGAAAAAATGAGGTAGTATACGGTAATACCACAATTATTACGACGAACACGCGACGAGCGGTTTCATAGATTCATAACAGAAATAACGCGTAAGATTCTCCTTCAATTCCGCGTAATACCAAATACCTACTCCGGAGTTCGAATAGTTGCTTGCTTCATTTCTGATTTTTAAAAAGTGAGCAACGACTCGAATTTCAACTCAATATCGCGAAAGGACGCGCTTTGTATCGTACGCGTAATTCACCTTAATATCGCGGCATACATGTTTGTCTCAATCTCAAGCAGTTGATTTGGAACCTAAATTATACCCCAATTTTCACCAGAATATCGCGAAAAATACGCAATTTTTCGAGCGGTTTCATAGATTCATAATAGAAATAACGCGTAAGATTCTCCTTCAATTCCGCGTGATACCAAATACCTACTCCGGAGTTCGAATAGTTGGTCACTTCATTTCTGACTTTTTAAAAGTGAGAAACCACTAGAATTTCATCTCAATATCGCGAACGACGCGATACTTACGGTTGACTCGTTAAATAAAAACGATTACCCGCTACTTATCTTAATATGGCGGAAAATGCGCGATTTTTCCATCGATTTAGTGAAAAAAAATGAGAAAATACGGGAGAGTATCACAATGTTGCGGAAAATTCGTAATTTTACCAGCGGTTTCATAAATCAGGGTGTCTACTAAAACAAGCTTGCCAAAAATCAGTATTTATACAGTACTTTTTCAGTACACTCCCAAAAAATTCAGTACCTCCTCAATAGAAAAATTCAATACTTTTTCAGTAGGTACCTCTATTTGACGAATTTTGAAAAATTTCAACAATTTGAACTTCTCGCTCAAATTGAGACAAAAATGACAAAAATTCCGGACCTTTTGCGAAATTTCCACACTTTTTCAGTACTTCCGGACCCCCTTAAAAAAATCGGTACTATTTTCGGACTTTCCGGAAATTCCGGACTTGTAGACACCCTGTAAACTCATTAAAAATTAAGTACGATTCACTTCAATATCGCGGCATATGCGCGCAAATCATAAGCGTTCGATTCACAACATCGATCACGCAATTTTCCCGCGAAAATCGCGAATTTTATTCCGATGCAAGCATAGTGTAAATAAAAGTCAGTGATATGAGACAGGTAAAAACCTAAGATTCTCCTTCAATTTTGCGTGATACCACATACCTACTCTGGAGTTCGAATAGTTGCTCACTTCACTTTTGTCTGTTCACAAGAGAAAGACCACTTGAATTTCATTTTAATGTCGCGTAACCACGCGAAATCCCGGTCAATTCGTTAAATCTTAAATGATTCCCCGCTTTTCATTGCAATGTCGCAGAAAATGTGCGATTTTTCCCGAGACTTTGTACCAAAAATGAGAAAATCCGCGATAATATCACAATATCGCAGCAAATTCGAAATCACGGCGTTAACATCGAAGTCATTACAAATTACGCAGTTTATTCGAAACAAGAATGGTGCCCCAATTTTCCCCTGAATATCGCGAAAAATATGCTGTTTTTATGCCTGTTCGAGCGTACTAGGCGTGGAAGTCAGTAATTTGAAACCAGCAAAAACCAAGATTCTCCTTCAATGTCGCCTAATACCACATACCTACTCCGGAGTTCGAATAGTTGCTCACTTCATCTCTGCCTGTTAAAAGTGAGAAACCTCTTGAACTTCATCTCAATATCGCATGGGAATGCAATTTTTAGAGTAGATTCGTGAATTCTCGAACAATTACGCGCTGATTATATCGAAGTCTTGGAAAATAACCGATTATTCCAGTCATTTTCAAGGGGGAAAAAAGGAGAATACCACAATGTCGCGGCGACTTCGTAATTTTTCCAACGGTTTTAAAAAATCATTAAAAATTATGGGTTGTTCACCGTAGAATCGCGGCATAAACGCAAATCTCAAGCGGTTGGTTCAAAACAAAAATCGTGCCGGTCCCAATTTTCCCTGAATATCGCGAGAAATACACAATTTTTATTTCGATGCGCAAGCATAGAGTTCAACGAGGCCAGTATTTTGGAACGAGCGAAAAACCAAGATTCTCCTTCAATTTCGCCTGATACCACAAACCTACTCCGGAGTTCGAATAGTTGCTCACTTCATCTCTGCCTGTTAAAACGTGATAAAACATTCGAACTTCATCTCAATAACGCTAGGGAACGCTATTTTTTCAGTGGATTAATAAAATATCGAACAATTACGCGCTGATCATATCGGTGTCGCGAAAAATACCCGATTACTCCAGTCAAATTCGAGGAGAAAAAAGGAGAATACACAACGTCGCGGCGAATGCGTGATTTTTCCGACGGCTTCAAAAAATCAGTAAAAAATATGCGTTGTTCACCGTAGAATTCGCAGTATAAACGCAAATCTCAAGCGGGTGATTCAGAACATAAATGATCCCGCAATTATAACCTGAATATCGCGAAAAATACGCGATTTTTTTATCAATGCGAGCACACCACTCAAATACGTCAGTAATTTGGCGGAGGCGATGACCTAAACAGGGCCGGATTCACCTACTTGCCGCCCTCTTCTCATTCGTTTTGAACCTCCATAAAAACCATCAAATGAACGTGCTAGCGGGAGAGAGGTGCATAAGACGTATTTACTAGTGTTGAACAAATTTTTCGGGAAAGCCCTGTCAACACTACTGGCAAAAGTTCACGAAACTGCGCAAAACTTAAGCTCCGTAAACCTATCTCTGTGTGGACACGGCCTTCCATTCATAAGAAATGAACGAAACAATTATGAAAGAACAAACATAAATGTGGTTCAATGATTTTAACTTCCGCCGCCGCGCCGCGCAGACCGCACCATGTTGGACGCAATGCGTGAAGTATTCACGCTGACCGCACTGTGTTTGGCGCAATGCGTGAAGTATTCGTGCAGTCTTGTAGGCGTTAATATGTGTTACATGCCGATCGCCGCGCCGAGGGCTTCTTTTCATCTCAAGTCCTCGTCATCATTTCTCTCTGGGTTTCTGGGCTACTCCGGAGATCGAATAGATGTACGCGCTTGGTGTCCGCTTTGACCATAGTTGTTTCATACAATATTTTTATGCAAATTTGCGTGGACATTAAAAAATACGCAATTTATCCAGCGGTTTAGTAAAAACTGAAGAAATCAAACATTAATTGGACGTATTTCTGCCAAACGGAACTATGTGCATTATAACATGAGCCTTGTTATGCTTATATTCTCACGGGTCTCAGGGCTCATGTCTTAATGCACATAGTTCTGTTTGGCAGAAATACGTCAATTTTATGTTCGGCTTTGATAAAAATACGCGAGTTTTCCATAATTTTTATAGACACATAAAAGAATACGCATTTCAGTATCAGTTGAATCAATAAGCGTCTGTCTACTTACCAGACACTGTATTCCGTTCCCTTGTATCTTTCTGGTAGACTAAATTTGTTGTCCGTTGTAGCCATTGTGGGAGTTGTGCAGTGAAATGGGCAACCAGAGGAAATTATTGGGGAGAAAACTTTAATTGATTTCAATAATGTCGATCGCAGTGATGACCATGTGTTCAGCATCTGAAGACAAACAAGATTTTCAGTTACTTGAGAGGAAATATACAAATAAAATATCACACTAATATTCATAAAAATATTACTTCGTTAAACAGCAAAAAAAATATTTAGTAGGTAAATGAAAAATGGCGTGCATTGAAAAGTTTACAAAGAGACAACTGCCGACCGTATCGATTGCTCCACTCCGTAATTGCCTATGAATTTTATAAAAATAGTAATTAAATGTTTCTCACGTGGGCTGACGGTTTTAAAAATTAGAAGCAGAACGAAATTATTTGTACTCACGTAACGTGAAAGAGAACTGACAAACTAAAAACATGGAGGTGTCAAAAATTCGCAAATGGCAACGGCCGAATTAAAGGGAAAGCAGTGACATTCGGAAACCCGTGAGAAAAATAACGTGAAAGTGTGGCCCAGAAAAATTTCTTTCATCCGAATGAATGAATTTAGAGTGTAGAATGCAAATTATAAGCAACATAAATTGGTGAGATAATTACTGATAAGAGACTTCATAACGACGCAGAAGAAAAGGAATGATGCAATTATTAATGAAAACCAAATCCTAATGAAGACTTATATACAAATGCCATTTCTTCTCATCGCAAAATGGATTAGTCGCATTTAATAGTCCATACTGGCAATGTAGCTCAATTAATGACAAAAAAAAGGCACCGTGTTTATAAGCTACTTGACATGAGAAATGTTAGTTTACATTTAAAAAAAAAAAA